CCCCCCTCAACAGCCCCAGGCGCGGGCTCAGCTGCCTCCACACACTGAAGGAGAGGCACAGAAACGTGGGGAGACAGACACTGGGAGAAAGAGACGCGAGAGGCAGAAACGCAGAGACATGGGGACATAGAGAGACCGAAGAAGAGGGGGAGATAGAGGCGAGAGGCTGACAGAAACGTAAAACTAATACAGAATACGAGACCGATGCAAATGACAGAGACAGAGATCGAGACACTAGACCCAGAGATAGGGTAGAGCCAGCCAGGTCCAAGCCAAGGTAATGGAGAGGCAAGGGACAGATAAAGAGACAGAACTGGGGAGACACCTGGAGAGTGAGAGAGACAGAGCTACAGAGCCACTGGGGTCCCCCCCCCCCCACCCCATCCCATTCCCTAGCCCTAGGCTCAGCCCTGGGGGAACCCCCACCCCCTCATGCTCAACGTAGCCAATCAGAGGCTCCCCCACAGCCCAGCCTCCTTCCCCTCCCATCTCCTCCCCTTTCCCTGTCACCCTGATTCTCTCTGCTCTATCTCTGGGTCCTTCTGGCTGGGTCTGCTTGGGTCTCTCTCTGTCCCTCTCTGTCTTTGCTCCCTGCCTGACCACTTTTCTCCAGCTCTTCTGGCTTCTGATCTCTGTGCCTTGCTCTGCTCTCTGTTGGGGTCTCAGTACCTCTGTTTCACTGCCTGTGGTCCTCTTCCTCTCTCCACCTTCCCTTGTCTGTGTGTCTCCCTATCTCCCAGTTTCCTTCCTGGGTCTCCCTTCCTCCCTACAGCTATCTCTGTCCTCTCCGTTAACCTCTCAGTTTCGGTCTCCCTCTCCCCCTCTCCCTTGCCTGCCCCCATTCGGCCCCCCCCTTTTTTCACCTTTCTGTACCTGTCTCCTCTTTTCTATCTCATTCATTCATCTCCCTCTATCTTGTCTCTCTCCACCCTTCTGACTCCTCTTTGATTTTTCCTCTCTGTGTGCTTTCCACCCTCTGCCCAGGGTCCCTCCCTCTCTCCCTCCCTCTGCCCCACTCCCTGTGAACTCAAGGGAACTTACTGTCCATATCCCCACACTCAGGCTGGGGTTTGGGCTCCGGGCTCCGTCCCCAGGGACGGGTGGGGAGGGGGTATCTTGGTCTTAACCCCTCCCTGGCCAGGTCAGCCCAGTGAGCCTCACTTTGGTATCAGGGGACCCTGGGGTCAGGCAGGCCAGATCAAGGTGGGGGGAGGCATGTGGCAGCGTGTTGGGTTGGATTGCCTGTGTGTGTGTGTGTGTGTGTGTGTGTGTGTGTGTGTGTGTGTGAGAGAGAGAGAGAGAGAGAGAGAGAGAGAGAGAGAGAGAGAGAGAGAGAGGGAGAGAGAGTGTGTGTGTGAGAGAGAGAGGGAGTGTGAGAGAGGGAGAGAGAGAGAGTTGGGGAGTAAAGGAGTATGTGAGTGAGGCCGGGGGGTTATATAGGGGGCTGGGACCAGGCCCAGCCGGGTAGGGGCTGGGGCAGGGGCCAGGGCCCAGCCACCGCCCGCTCGGGAGGGGAGGGAAGAAGGGGGGGAGGGAGGGGAGCCTGACACATCCTGACTCACTCTCCCCAGCCCCAGCCCCAGCCCCGGCCCGGCCTGAGCAGGAGCAGGGGGAGGAGGGGGAAGGGGGGAGGCTGAGCTGTGATACATGGGGGGCCTGAAGGGGACCCACTGAGCTCATCATCATTCCCTCCCTCTCACCACCAAGCCAGAGACAGTGAGGAGACTAGAGGAGGAGATGGTGGGAAGAGACACATTGAGGCACCGAGAGACATGGAGCTGGGAATGGGAGGGAGGGAGCTGCCCAGACACATTGGAGAGAGCAGACCTAAGAAGACTGAGGCCGACGGAGAATAGGAGGGAAAGAGATAGAGAGACACTGAGCGAGACACAGAAACAATGGGCCCTTGTGGGAGAAAGAGTGAGTGAGAGCCCAGAGCTCAGAGACTGAAGAGAAATTCACAGAGATAGAAGGAAAGGCTGGCTGACACACTGAGGCCAGGGTGCACAAATGTCCTGGACTGGTAGAGACAAACACGAGCGAGGAGCCTGGTGGAGAGACATGGGGCAGGGATGGAGACGTGACCTGCAGAGGTGTGAAGGCACTGAGCTGGAGACGGGGTGTGGGTGAAGAGGTTTGGAGGTTTGGAAACAGAGATGGGGAGGTGGAAAGAAAGACCTCGCTATACCTGGACTTGTTCAGAGACGGACTGACAGCAGCACCTCACACACACACACACACACACACACACACACACACACAGACTGACGGGGAGACTCAGAGACACCAGGGCAGAGACAAAGAACAGAAGAGAAACTCCTCGGAGATGGAGGCGTGGAGGCATTGATGCAAAGTGAGAGATGAGATGGAGACCAAGGAATAGGAAGTCAGCAGGACACTAAGGCAGAGAGACAGGAGCTGCAAGAAGGACCAGAGACAAAAGAGATTGAGATCCAGGGCAAGAGAGAAGCTGGGAGCTATAGATGGAGACGCTGAGAGAAATGGAGGGAGACAGATCCTGGGAATTCCGAGACAGATTAAGAGAGGCAGAGAAAGAAAAGAGGGACTGAGAAATAGCAAAGTGGTAAAGGCCCAGAGAGGGGAATGAGTGGAAACCCAGACATCCAGAAAGATGCATTGGAGGAGACTGAGAAAGAGAGGGACCGCACCACCGGGAAGTCTGACTGAGCCAAACCCAGTGACTGAGAGAAACCAGGGAGAGACAGAAGCATTGGAGCAGTGATGACCAGGCCAACACAGAGTCCGAGAGAAGAGAAAGGGAGTCCTACTGTCCAACTGGGGAGGGGGCTGGAAAGCTTTGGGGACGCTAGAGTTGGTTGGGTACCCCCTTGCTCAGCCCTTCCTATCCCCTGATGGAGAGCAAGGGGGAGGGGGAGGAAGAGTGCTGGGATCTGTGTCCCTTGTGAGAGGTCCTGGGGATGATGACGTCAGGGTACCACAGCACGGGATATGATCTTATAGTCAGGTGATCAAGTCCTCCCTACCTTCCCAACTACAAAGGGAAACAGAGGCATGGGGGGAGGCCCCCAGTTCTGACCACCAGCCTCCAGCCCTCAGGGGGCAGTTTCGGCGGGGGGTGACTCAGTGTGAGGGGCCAGAAGTTTCATCATTCCCCCCACCCCCAGGTCAGTCGTCAAAGTGACTCAGGCCCAGGGGCTGGGGGATTCACCACCTGGGGGGAGGGGAGAACAGAATTCTCAGCTGTTTGGGACTTAGGTTTCTAAACCGTAAACCCCAGTACTTTAGGACCACAGACCTTGTCCTCTCAGGGGCCAAACACGAGGCTCTAGCATTCAGGAGACTTGGAAAGGGAAAGCTGGCAAGGTCTGGGGAGGGTCGTCAGAGACTTGGCACCATCCACTGGAGGAGGGGGAGGGGATATCCTGGACCCAAGAACGTCCAAGACTCAATGCTTACACATCGAGGAATCCTATGGGACCATTTTCCAGCAGGGAAAACTGAAGGCTAGAACCTTGCCTGCCCTGTAACACAAAGACCTTAGATATCATCCACTCAGATGCCCTCACTTTACAGAGGGTGGGTGTGAGGGGACAGCATAAGGTCACAAAGTTGGGGCTGGAAGCGAGGGCTCCCGACTTGTAGCCCAAGGTCTAGAGAGGGAGTGACACGGGTACCATTCTTAGGGAATGTGTCCGGAAGATGTGAGGGGATGGGCAAGAAAGTCACTGGGGGTCAAAGGAAGGGAGAAAGCCCAGGAGGCAGAAACAGAGATGGGACAAAAAGGCAGAGAGCCAAGCGAAAAGGGGCAGAGCTAGGGAAATACAGTAAGACAGAGACCCAGGGAGACAGGAAGGCGGGCTGGGCGGCGGGGTGGTCTGGGGGGCTCCCTAGGTGGGGTGGGATGTGAGCTCAGCTCAGCAGGCGGCCCCGTGGGGGGGGTGTCTGCCCGGCTGAGGCTGCGGGGGGCCGTCTGGGCCAGGGAGAGGGTGACGGGCCGGCAGCCACAGAAGCAGTTGCAGCCTGTCATTAGTGGTGTGGGTCAGTGACGGAGGGCCCAGCCCCACAGGGAGCCCGCCCCCAGCCCCCCACCCCCTCATTGATCTGAAAAGAATCCCAGGAATGGGAAGTTTGGCCCGGACCGATGTTGACACAGGAAGCTCAGCGGCCACAGCTGAGGCGAGGTCTCAGCTCTTTCCCAGCCTGACCAATGACCCCCCCAACCCCCTCCGACCTGACCTGTGTCATCTCTGACGGAGATTCTGGCCCCTCAGCCCACACGTTTACCGTGGGGGGCAGTTACCGCCAGTCACCGTGAGCAAGCCCAGGTGTTTTCTGGGTTCCTCATCTTTCCAGGGTGCCAGGCATCTCGAAGCCAGCTGGTCTGACTCCTCGAAGGCCCCAAGGCTCTTGAACCTCTAACCCTCTCCTCCTTCGGGAACCCAGGAGTCCCAATTCCCCAGCATGCTGTCACCTCAGCCCCCCACTCCCTCAATGACCCCGAGTGCCTTCCTTCCTCAGGGAACCAGGCATCCCGAGCTCCTAGCCCTCCGCTCCTTCAAGGATACCTGCACCCTATTTCCTGAGCCTCCCCTCTCAGGGACCCTGGCATCCTGAGCCTCCATGCCCCCTTAGGGACCTCGGTATCCTGAGGATCCCTCAGCCTCCTTTTATCTCAGGGACCCCGGCAGCCCCCTCTGCCCTCAGGGATCCTCTTAGCTAGCTGCCAACTCTCCAATGAAACTAGGGACCTCGAGAGGGGGCATTCTGAGCCCCTAGCCCCCTCTTCCCTGAGGGATACTGGCTCCCTACACACACACACACACACACACTCATCACATACACACACACACAGTCATCATACACTCCTCACACACACATGTGAGAACACACATTCATCAC